TCACGTGTTTTTAGAATCCATCGAGGAGAGAAGTAATCCATCAGGGAAACACTTCAGAAACATTATAAAGTGATAGCTGTACGTTTTATCCACTTATTTCTCAAATACCTAAATAATTATTTACTGTTTTGGAAGCGGCGCTTGTTAGACGGTGGCAGCCATGTTGATTCTGTCGTCCAATCACAAATTGTGTTATTAGATGGTGAAAAACGTGTAAACAGCAGAACCAATGACAGATGCGAAATAGCGGAGGCGATCCTCAGAGAGTAAATAATGACCAAGAGAGTTATCTGTAGTTTACCGAACTAATGACTGATGTGTTTATCTAAAACCCGCGATCCGACCCGCATGTTATTTTTTCCACCCAGATCCGAACCCGGGAAAAAATGCTTTTTTGAAAACCACCCGCAAATCAGCTGTTTTTGCGGGTACCAAACCCGACCCAGTGCAGGACTCTGGTTCCCAGCTGGTCCAACCATGAGGTCCAGATTTCTCCTTGGTCATTAGTTCAAGGTGGGTTTGGTGATGTTGTCAAGCTAGTTCGCTGACCTTGTCAAGTAGCTGTCTGTTAATCACTCTCTCTACAGCAGGAAACGCACTTCAAAATAAAAACGCTGAGCCAGAAATTCAGTGTATTTCAAAATAAAGTGTTTTTTGAAAAACTTGACACGTCTAAGAGTCACTTGTGGTCCATTCACAATGGATCTGTAACCCACATTTGGACCGTGACCCACCAGTTAAGAACAACTAGTTTAAAGTAGTCACCTGGTGGACATCTGCACTGAGCGCACTTTTCTAGTGAGAAGTGAAGTGAGGCAAGAGACAGGTCTATTAACAGATTAATGGGTGCTAGACATTTAATAACGACTGTTACCGGGGCATCAGTAAATGACTCATGTGGGACTGTTTAGTGGGACAGAACTGATTTATACTGAACTACACAATGTTGTGTGTGTGTGTGTGTGTGTCTTTTTGTTTATAATAAGTCAAGTCAGAATTACACACACACACACACACACACACACAGACACACACACAGGTTGTGACAGGTTGGCGGTTGAGAGGCTGCTACCATGGGGCCACCACCGCTGCCACAGTGACGAGTCGAGTGCACCTTAATCAAAATTTTAACATCAGCATTTTTTATGACTTACTGTTCATGTGGTTTGAATATCAGTTTTCCATGAAACACTTAATAAAATCATGAAGTAGACTGATGCACAAAAGCCTAGAAGAAACAACAGCATGGATTATTTGATAATGATTTTAGTATTTTCTCAGATTTATGATCTTTTAACGCTGTTTTATATTTGAACTTATTCTTACAGATATACACTCGCTCAGTGATAGAGCCCTTGCCTCCCCCTCCGACCAAAGATGCTGCAACCTCTCCCATCTCGCCACCAACAGCAACTGCCGCTGCTGTCACCCCCGCCCCCCCTGCAGAGGGAGCTCCCAGCAGCCCTCCTAGTGCAAGCCCCGCCCCCGGGCCTTCTGTGCCCCGACCCCAGGACAAAACTAGGAAAAAGAAGATGTCAGATGAGGAGATCCTTGAAAAACTACGTAAGGCTCATTCACACACTCAAATGCACATCGTACCTTTTAAGTACTCCAGATTATCTTTATATAGAGAGACTCTGATTTGTTTTAATATCACTTATATTCTATGTTACGTTGTAGAAGTCATTTGCCCTTAAAATCATAATGAAAATCACATTACCAATAGTTTAGATTAAATCTACACATTGGCTAATCAAAGAAACAATCACACTAAATGGCCAATAGTATGTGGACACCCCAGTCCAAATACCCTTGTGCCTTCTGGTGTGGGCTGTTTTACATGGTTTTGGTCCACTCAGTTCTACTGAAGGGAAATCCTAATGCTACAGCGTACAATGATATTTCAGAGTGCAGTGTTCTTCCAACTTTGTGGCAACAGTTTAGGTTTTGCCCTTCCCTGTTTCTACATGACAAGGCTGCCATGCACGACGTCAGCTCCATAAGGAAGTGGTTTTCTTATTTAGTGTGGAGGGGCTTGACTGACCTGCAAGCACTAACCTCAGCGCCATCCAACACCTTTGGGGTAGACTGAAACATGAGCCAGACCTCATTATTATGTTGGACCTCACTGATGCTCTTAAGGCTGAATGGGAGCAAATCTCTGCAGCCAGAATATACAATCTGGTGTAAAGCGTGAAACCAGAAGAGTAAGATATGTTTAGCAATCATATGTGTCTGTGATGTTTGGGTGTCCACACTCTTTTGGTCATGTAGTCTATGTGATTATGAATGAAATGGACCTAAACATACATACAGATACTTGAGAAAACTACATACAAAACAATTGTATGAATAAGACAGTGCCTTTTCATTTTCTTTTACAAGACTTTCTAAGTCTGTTCTTTTCTCCAACAGAGGAACATAAAAGTCTGCTTAGGCCAAATATTTACATATCATCATATAGTATATTGTGTGTCTTGTGGATTATTTGGTCTATAAGTGTTAATTGTTATCTCATGTCCTTTTTCTGTAAACTAAACAATGTGATGCAGTTTTTACCTGCTATAGTTCAGTGAGTCTCTGGGTGCTAATTTTAGTCTCATTTGCACTCTTTATTTTTGACATGTTGTTTCATCACTCTCTCCTTTTATGCACACACACGTTTTCTCTCACAGAGGAAGGTGTAAATTTATTTTAGGCTCAATAATGTTAGTGGTGATTTGGCAGTTTTTTTTCTGTTTTAACAAGTAGAACTTATGAAACATAGTACTTTATGAGTGAGACAATACAGAATATAAAATTATTATAGACCTTACATGTGAAACAAATATTTTCTCTGGTATGATTCTGGTATTTTTCTAATTCTGTAGTCATCAAACATAACATTTTCTCCATTCCAAGAAAAAGTCTTACCATACTTTATTACTTTCCACATCATGTTTAAAATAATGGTTTTATAGCATACAGAGGGCTGCAGTGTGGGTGTTTGTGAAAGATGTTGCATAATGCTATCACTTCTAACAATATAAATCGCCTGGAGTGTCTCACAGTATTCAAATGATTGTGTTAAAAAGTTTAGTTTATTCAAGTGTTCATGTTAGTCTTCTGTCCAACATGGTGGCTTGACACTCATGTGTTGACTCACAGCTAACAGATGCTGACAGGTTTTGTTTTCTCAGAATTGAACCACAGATTTAAAAGTATTTAAATTGTCTTCATTGATTTGTTGCGGCAGCCTCTGTGAACCCACAGCCTTTATTTTTAAAGTTCCTCTGTAACTGTAGCAGTTCTTCATTATAAAAAGTCAATGAAGGCCCATTACATGTATGCTCTTTAAAACCATACGCTCAACTAAATATATATATTTGGAATATTGCCAGTTATGTCTATGTAAACATCGCTCTGTGGGACTGGTTCTCAACCATGTCTTGTGTCCCATCACAATGAAGCAAATTAAAACTGTTAAAACTTGACGAAAAAAATGAATCAATAAAGAGAAGCCACAAAACAATTAACGTAATTTTGTACATAAATAAACCATTTTGTGCCCCGCTTGAGCTGCTGATTAAAACTTCTATTTTTAAAATCCATTGCCAAAACCTGTACTTTTAACTTAAAGTAATTGGTATTTCCCATAATTAAAGGGTGAAAATGTATTTTTTAAGATCATGCCCTAACCCTTCAGAATAAAAGCAGATATTTGAAAAAACTTCTCCCACATACTGAAATGTATTGTTGTGTATTTGTATATTTTTAAATCATGCCCCACGCCTGTCCAGATGTGCTCAGATCTCCCTCTGCTGGTAAGACCAGGATACTGCCTGTCTGTCTGTCTGTCTCTCTGATTGACAGACCTGATATCCATTGTCCCCGCCCCTACTGTCCAATCCTCACATCTGATTGGTCGTCCTCTCTCTCTCTTTCCATTGTCCAGTCTCCTGCGGTTACAGAGTGACTCCAAGTTTTGTCCGCTGATCATTTTCCTACTGTGGACTCTGACTATTGAAATGCAGACAGAGCAGCCTCACTTTCTTTCTTTCTTTCTTTCTTTCTTTCTTTCTTTCTCAATTCCTTTCTGCATTTTTTCAATTTCTCTCCCTCTTGTTTTTTAATTTTCTTTGTGTCTTCTTCCTTCCTTTCTTCCTTGATTTCCTCCTTTCATTACCTCTGTCTTTCTTTTTTTCTTTCCATTTAGTCTTACTTTACCATGCGGAGCCCCTAAGGGTGAGAAAAAATGACAGATGAGTAAATAAAAAAAAATGGGGGAGTAAAAAAAATAGATGATTGAAAAAATAAGGTACTATCCCGTTTTCCCAACAAACTTCTGCAGTCTCCCGAAGACATTTTGAGTCTCCATGTACATCTCCTGCAGCAGAACAACATGCGAGAGCTTGGTGAGGGTGAATAAGGCCTAGATCAGCAGATATGGAGATCATTAAATACTCTGTCAGCGAGTTCCATCACTGGTCTCATTGCTCTGAAGCAGTTGTGCCACCCTTTAACGTGATAACAAGCTCTGCAAATGGAAAGCTTTAGTCAACCTCAGGAAATATCTGGATGCCACAGTGTCACAACATAAACACACATTAACAACAAATCTGCATCCAAAGACAGATGGAGTATGATAGCAATAACTCTGTTGTTTCTCACTTCCTACATGGTCACATATTTCAGTAATAGATGTTACACAATAGCATTTGCGTTGCATTGTGTTCCAACAGTAAAACATGAGACTAAGTTTGCTAAAAAGTTGTAAAGGATCATTTGAATATCAAGTTAAAACCAGCCAGTCTGATGTGTGCATAGGTCTGTGTGGTTATACTGTAGCAGCCTTGTGTTGTTTTCAGGTAACTTAATGAAGGTCAGCAGTGAATAGTAGTACACAACGGCCTTGTGTAACAGCAGTGAAATCTGACGCAGTGATTCTCAGAGGCTGCAGATTTAACCACATTGGGAGAACGCAAAAGTATTTATAGGAGCTCCGTAGTGGCAGCTGTCTTGTCAGTTTTTCTTTTTTCTTCTTTATCACCCTTTTCATCCCAAATTGACTGTTATAATCATGAAGTCTTTATATCTCCATTTAGTTTCTGACCTGTAAAGATTTTGTCTCACCCCTCTTTCTTTCTCTCCATCTTCTTTTCTCTCTGTTGTTCCTCCTCTTTTCTCTCTGCTCTTTCTATCAGTCAGCATGCTGCATTGACCTGAGTGTGATGAACATAGAGTAGACTTTGGATGGATAGAAAGATACCTGACTGCTCTATCCATTCACATTCAGTGATACAGTGAAGAGAACATATAGGTACTATTCTGCTGTGCATCCAGGGGCCTGGTTTTATTTTTCTCGCTCTCTTACAGATCCATATACATTGCTGTTTGTGTTTGACCAATCAGTAAGTGAGTTTTTGCTTCTCGGTCTGTCTTTCTTTGACTCAGGGACGATTGTAAGTGTGGGAGACCCCAAGAAGAAATATACACGCTTCGAGAAAATCGGACAGGGGTAAGTCATAAATCAATTGTGGCTGTAAAAACATAAAATTCTTCAAAAGAAAACTGATGCTGAATATGTGAAAACAGCTGTTTCATCCTGTAAAACCAAACATTAATATTTTACAATTCTGCTGAACTTAAAGTTAAATTTGATCACACCTTTTTTAGTCTTTTGGAACAAGAATAAGTCAAAAAGTAATTTTTTTAGAATGTAGAAAAATAGTGGACATAGTCACTGTGATGTCACCCATTGGTTTGTGGACTCCCGTTTTGCAGTTGCACTGAACATGATGTTACATCCTCAACATCCTCGTTGTGGTGGTGACGTTGAAGTCATGCAACCCCTGGTGCAGTTTGTTTATAGCCTACCGTTAGCTTTTTACTTCTGGCAATTGCATATATGCATCTAAAATCATGAAAGTGGTGTTCATTTGTGAAGATTATCTTGCTAAATATAACATTTAAGTGATGTAAACCTGTCTTTAATACAGAGCTTATTTTCTCTATAATAATCCAACTGAAAATTCCCAATGGCGTTTTGTCAAGAGAACCAGGGTGATGTTAACTTGATTGTCAGCCTACCAACAAACATCATTCCTGCATCACTCCGGGCCAGTTACAAAAGCACAATGGCCAAAATCACACCAAATACTTCCTTTTAAGTGGAAACAGTGAATAGAGCATCCACTCAAAGCAAATATTTATACATGTTTTATGTTGCAAAAGCCCCATGATAAGTTTCTGTTGTTTGAAACCTTGTAAAAGGTATCAAACAAATAGGAAGTTAAGGATAGAAAGTTATGTTAGACTTTGGTGATTTGTTATTGATATAAGTTAAATTCAGTGAAAAAATTCTTAGGGTCAATCCAAAGCCCTGAAAGGCAACTTGTAATTGGTGGAATGTCAACACAAGCTAAAACTGTCTCAGGACGATGTGAAGCATCTTCTGGTTGCTTGAATGCTGCAGATTCATTATTAAGTAACTTAAGCGTGTGAAAACTGCACCTGTTTAGGGTGTTACCTCAGGTGACATTAAAGGAATAATGTTTTCATCCAACAAAGAAATGATAACATCATGTTTAACTGGAGCTCTCTACTCGTCTGTTTGCAGGGCATCTGGGACTGTGTACACAGCTATAGACATCGCTACAGGACAGGAGGTCGGTTTCATTTATCGTCCTCCATACCTCTTGTCTCCTTCCTACATCCTTCTGGTCTTTATCCTCCTTCTGTTGCTTGGTTACAAAGGAAATATAAACAGCATCCTGTTCATGACAATCTATCCAATGACTGTTAATATATGTAACATATGTCTTAACAAAAATGGTAGACCAACAGACCGACATCCAAGGGGAAATGCTGCTAAAATTATTTTGTGGACTCAAATTCAAACATTGTATTTTCAACTCCTCTTTGCATTCATGATGAATATACTGAAAGAGGAAAATACTAATGTCTGTTTTTTTACCCAAAGGTAAGGATTCTTGGGATTGGCATACAGAAACCACCCACACAGAGACAGTCTGAAAAGTTGAAGAGTCAAGGAGGAAATAGAGGGAAAATAAAGTTCAGTTCCTGGGTGATGAAGATGACTTTATACAGACATGTTAAAGTCATCCTCTCTGGCCTTTCAGTTAAAAAACGCTAAGTTATCAGAGAAAAAAATTTGAGCACATGTTAGCAGGTGCCAGGCAAGCAGCATTTCTTCGAGCTGTAAAGTGTTAGAGAAACACTGATTTGACATGAAAGTGCTTTATTTAGGGGGTTTTTTGTTTTGTTTTGTTTTGTTTTTCAGTGTTCTGGTTTTAATTACCTGGTCTAATTGTTTTGGAGAGGAAGAGACCTCTGCTGATAACTCAGCTCCCGGTAAAAATCTCTGGAACAGTGAACAGTGAAGGAATTCTAATACAGAGTTCATGCTTGGCACATGGGAGAAGTTTTAGCTGGTTGCAATCTGCACTTCTCACTGCTGGATGCCACTAAGTCCTACACACTGCTCCTTTAAGTAAAATTTAATTAAACCCTGATGCTGAAGAGAGTTCAGATTCATTTCCTAGACTAAAAGGTTGCAATTACAAATTAAGGGAGAAATGAAGTTCAAATTGAGTGCCCTTTGAGGGTTAGAAACAATGCAGGAAGTTTAAAGGAGATGTAGGTCCATCAAGGGTGTCAGCCTTTCATCAGGTAAAATGAGGCAAACAGCCTTAAAGGGAAATGAGCAGTAAGTTCAGCTGGAGTTTGCTCAGTGAGAACATTGTGGCAGTAACTGAGTTTAAGTCTGGCTCCGGCAGCGGTGACTTCCAGGTTAATTTTAAAGGAGCTCAGCTCGTCTGTCTGGATAATCCTCCTCAGTTTCACTCTCTGAGGATTAGTCTGCATGCCCACTTTTTAATGTCTGTCAGGCTTCGCTGCCTAACAACCTTTTACCGCCTTCGGATTTAGATATTTCCCTGCAGCTGTCTACAGTTCTTACCAATTTTCTTTTCATCCTCTTGTTGTCTTTTATTCCCTCCCACGTTATCTTTTTCATTTAATAAACCTGTCTATCTGTCTTTCTTTTAGCGTACTCCTCCCCACTTGTCTTTTTGCTCCCAGGTTCTTTTCAAATCTTTCAAATATGTGATTTATTTGCATGAATATGAGAAAGTTAGACCCAGAGGAAAGGAAAGCTCAAAATAAGATCTCTGGTAAGCCTTTCTCCTGGATATAACCGAGCTGTATATAACATCAATTTGAGATTTTTACCATTTTTTCATACTTAAATTCAGCTCAGCCGGCTCCTAATTTAAGATCTTAAAATGAAATACTGAACTGAAATAGTCAGCTCTTGATGATAACAGTTCCAAAGAAGTTCCAAAAGAAAACTTGATTGGCTTATAAATGAGCCTGCACAATTTCAAACATTTGTCTCAGTGATTCAAGCCTCAACCCTGTGGGTTTGACCTGTTCTTAGAGTTGAGAAACCTCTGAGCACAGCAAAAGAACTCCTGCTGCTTTATTCGTTTTTTATCTCTCCTACAGGGTGTTTAGGAGAAATAGGTCAGAATGTAGTAATCTCCAAATAAGAAGATTTATTTCTGATGAGACAAAGAAAAGACTAATATGAGCAGCAAAAGTTAAATATTTCTCTTTTCTTTCAGGTCGCCATTAAACAGATGAACCTGCAGCAGCAGCCAAAGAAGGAACTGATCATCAATGAGATTCTGGTGATGAGGGAAAATAAGAACCCAAACATTGTCAACTACCTGGACAGGTTAGACACACCATCACACACACACATATCTGGATCGGTTGAACATAGATGGATAGATGATAGATCCTGAACCAACATGGAGGCTGCAGCTTAAAAAGTTGGATGATTATTTATAATTTTGGCAGATTCACATTCAGCTGAGATTTTCTGTTGATGTTGCTGTTCTGACAACAAATACTGTATATTGAATGCAGTAAATGTGTGAAACAAGTTGAAAAACACAATCTGCTGTAAACTGAGTCAAATGGGAAGGCAGGGCAAGTTCATTTATAAAGCGTATTTCAGCAACAAAGCAATTCACAGTGCTCTTTGTAAAACATTGAAAACATCAAGACAAAATGCAAAACAAACACATCCTAAAAATGAGATACAATTATAAACAGCCATCAAAGAGCTAGAGAATAGAAGATAAAAAAGCTAAATAGAATAGGACAGGCATAAAATACAAGACTTAAAGTTACCGTGCAGTGCAACAAATGAATAAATATCTGATTTAATAAAAAGGGGAAAAAAACAAAAACATGAAAGACTTCAACCTTGATTCTAAACCAAGAGTTGCAGCAGGCCTGCAGGTTTGCTAACTGCAGTTCCCAAACTTTCCCTAGAAAACACCTCTGTGGTGTTCCAGATGCCTCAGGATCAATGAAACCAACACAGTGTCATCGCTAACTGTAAAGTCTGAACCACTATGAGAGGCTATTCACTTCTGTGTTGCTGTTGCTATGCCAACACAAAAGACATGTCGAGGAGGGGATGTCCAATGTCTGGTTACCACAGTAACCTGTTTGTCTTGAGAGAGATTGAGAAGCACATACAAGACTGGTGATAATGCTGTCATCCCCATGGAAACAACATTTTAACTGTCACTGATTTACTCTGTGTGTCTGTGTGTGTGTGTGTGTGTGTGTTGTACAGGACTGACAAAAGAATGCATTTTGTTTTGTCTGCTTTTTTTTTTATTTTTCAAAGCACTGCGTTGAATGCTGTGTCCAAAACTCATCAGTGATTTCTCCTATTTATTTATAAGATCCAGTTCATCAGTGCAGAGTTAGGATAAATGGAATAGGAATAAAATGTCAGTTTCTATATGTAGATTCATGAAACACTTCTTAAACTAAAGAATTTAGAAATTAAACAAACAAGTCTTTTTTAAACAACTCTTTATAGTGTCCGGTATGTGCAAGGTCAGCCTGTTGAATGTGCGAGTGCTCATTAATCCCAGACTTCTCCCACTCATCTACTCGCTACCGCTCATACCGCCTGCTATGGTGAGTGATGGGGTAGGAATTAAATCGGACTTGTTAGAGTTGACACTTCCGCCAGCGAAGGCCAGTGGTGCATTCATGTGCTCCTCTGATGATTGTACTTCCTACTTTGATGTGTTCATGAGCTTTAAGTTGTAATGTGGAAACAACATTGAGGCTACAAAGAAGATGTGTTGTATTTAATTGCTCCCAGCATTTAAACAACATGTTGAAAGTAAAGAGTAAATTAAATGGATCAGGTGAGCGATACATATATCATCGAAAACTCATTTTTCAGATTATTGCAACATCACAAGAATGCAGCACAAGACTGCAGAGGTAACTGGGACATCTGGGGGGTATTCCAGAAAGCGGGTTATGTGAAAACTCAGAGTAGGTTAACCATGAGATGAGGGAAACTCTGAGGTATCTGTTCCAGAAAGAGAGGTAACTGAAACTCTGAGTCAGTCACCATGGTAACAGACTCTGTGAACATAACCTGCTCGCTGACAGGTTTTCTTCAATAAACCCTGAGTGTTTCTCTGTCTCCTCCCTCTTACACGCTGTTTCATTTCCTCATTCATTCAGTCCGTGTCAAAGCTTGTATGGAAGCGCATTCATTAGCGGAGATTTACCGTCTGTCACAGTCTAAATCCTGCTGGATATTAGTTTGTTACTCAGGACTGTCTTAAGTTACTGAATTTATGCACATCAGTCATTTCTTTGGACATCAGTTTTTGTCTTTACATTCAAATATTACACAGCGAGAATTCACCCTCAGCTCAGAATCAAACCTCTGTTCTTTTTATATTTATTATTTTTATAACACTGTGCACAAGGATCAGACTGTCAGTCTGTCAGAGCAGCTCCCAAATGTTTATTGCACATAATGTGTAGGTCTAATTATTTAAATTTTAAAAATAAGTATGAAGCTTTAGACACGTAGTATCAATGACTAATGATCTCTGTCACTGATGTCACTGGTCGCACTGATGGAACATAATTCCTATAACCTAATATTGGGGATTATATGTTCATATTTCTGAGTGAGCAATGGTGCAGCATTTCACTGTCTTTACATTTACTACATTTGTAGCTGAAATAAAGTCACTGAATGCTGTTGAGTCAAGATACAAATAGATGTGCAACATTTTAAAATCTACTGTATTTTAACCTCAACGTCTTTTCAAGTGCAAATCACCAAACACATTATTACTGGGTCAGACTGTGAGTTTACAGTCATGTCTTTATGTCTTTGATCTATAGCCTAGCCTATATGTTTTAAATCTTCTGCCTCCTGTGTTTTTCCCCATCAGATTAAATCTGAACAAATATATTATTATATATTATTAATATAATGTAATGTATCTACAGCCTGATACACAGTCAGATTCCACCACTTTATCTTCATTAAGGAAATGTAAGTCTGATAAATGATGAATAAACTTTTTTATTAACTTTATGGTTAACTTATTGACACTTTCCTCGCTCTGACTCAGGCTCTTCTTTTAAAGATAAACGTGCACCGTCTGCTACACATGCATTAATATCTCTACATCCACTGGATTAAAATGGAGGCGCTGTCTTTTATTTACCTGTTGCCATGGTGAATCGTGGAGTCGGAGCTCCATTGATGATGGCTTTTTATTGTCGGCTTAACTCAGAGTGAACATACTCAGAGTTGACTGAACTAACTCAAATCAGCTGTTCTGGAACCGGTAACTCAGAGTTTCCCATCTCAGGGTAAATCAACTCAGAGTTCAAGGTTAGACTCAGAGTTTGTTGAACCTCCTACCTGGAATACTCCTCTGCTACCTGTTCCTCAAAGAATGACAGATTATTGGTCAGTGACATTTCTGTTACAGCATATTGAGCTTTTATAGCCTGCCTACATTCAAGTGGGATGCTGAACCAATGCAACAAAATTAATATTATCTTCATTGATGTAAACTTATACATGATGACTGGTAATGCCCTGAAGAGAAGTGTTGTGGGGCGGGCAGCACTAGCTATCGAACATGCATATACTATAATGGAGTGTCACAAAGAAACTGCCAACATATGGGGCGTCGGTGGCTTAGTGGTAGAGCAGGCGCCCCATGTACAAGGCTGTAGCTGCAGCGGCCTGGGTTCGACTCCAGCCTGTGGCCCTTTGCTGCATGTCTCTCTCTCTCTCTCTCTCTCTCTCTCTCTCTCTCTCTCTCTCTCTCCCCCTTTCACACTTGTCTGTCCTATCAAATAAAGGATAAAATGCCCAAAAACATATCTTTAAAAAAAAAAGAAACTGCCAACATATTTTGCAAAAGTATCAAAACTCAAAAGATTCTGAAGGTTTGACACATTTACATGTATCAACTCGAAGCTCCCGATACTGTGAAAAGAATCTGTCAGCCTGTCACTTGAAAAAAATGTATTTTGTGGTTGAATGTTTTATTTTAAATTAATACATCGGGTCCCCTCGGGTTCTAAGGCACATTGTTTTAAAAACCTGCATTTTTTGATGTTTCCTATAGTTACCTGGTGGGTGACGAGCTGTGGGTGGTGATGGAATACCTGGCTGGAGGTTCTTTGACTGATGTCGTCACGGAAACCTGCATGGATGAAGCCCAGATAGCTGCTGTGTGCAGAGAGGTAAGAGACACGAGACACCAGTCTGCTTGGAAATTAATTAAAAAAAGCCCACTTTGACATCATCTCTGTTCGTTCCTCTCTTTCTCTCTCGCTCGCCCTCTCTCCAGTGTCTTCAGGCATTGGAGTTCCTCCACTCAAACCAGGTCATCCATCGAGACATCAAGAGCGACAACATCCTGCTGGGCATGGACGGCTCTGTCAAACTCAGTCAGTCACTTCTTTTTTGTATTTGTATAAAGCTGCTTGCAGCATAACACTGAGGATTGTTGTTGTTGTTGTTGTTGTTTCTTTTGATCAGCAGGGGGAGCTCTGATTTTACTGTGACCAGTATTGAACTTCAGTCAGTGAAACAACTGTGGACACAGTGACCACAGAGGTGGTATTTCCAGTTAGTGTGTGAAAGATATCAGAGTTACAGCAGATTATGTTAATGCTCATTTGGTAATTAATGACTCATGTACATCCACCTGTGTTTTATGATGAAAAGTGACCTGCTTCACTTATGGCTGGTTGAAAGTACTAATGTTGTTGCCCTGTTAAAAAAAAAAAAAGGATCAGTAATGTGTGTTTCATGTTTTGTCTGACTTTCACCTATTTGAAATGCATCATTGATTATAAGATGATAAAAGGTTATATTTTGGGGGATTTACCTGAACTTTTATGCAGTTTATATGAGCCTTTATATTGTCATATACAGTAGATTTAAATGTAAAGGTTTGATGCAAACAGCAAAAAGGAGAATCTATCACATGGTCAAATATTTTTGTTGGAGAGATGGTTTTGGCTCTCAGGACACTTTTCAGTTCTTAAATGCCCTGAAAAAGTACAACAGCTTTCAAATGTATCACAGAATTTTAAAGATTGATAATTGGTAATTTAATACCAGCAAGTCTTCAAGGCAGAGAATCTCAAATGTTGTGAATACATGGACTCATTTTCTATCTCCTCCTCCTCCCAGCTGACTTTGGGTTCTGCGCCCAGATCACTCCAGAGCAGAGTAAACGTAGCACCATGGTTGGGACTCCATACTGGATGGCTCCAGAAGTCGTGACCCGTAAAGCTTACGGCCCCAAAGTGGACATCTGGTCCCTGGGCATCATGGCCATAGAGATGGTGGAGGGGGAGCCGCCGTACCTGAATGAAAATCCACTCAGGGTGAGACTGTGTTGCTGTGTGTGTTTGCTGAAGGCTGAGTGAGGGAGAGTTGCTGTGATGGGAGCAGTTCTTTTACGATTTAAGTATGTAAACATGTCGTGGTCAAAAAAATACAAGTATGAACCTGAAAATGAGCCTAACAGGTCCCCTTTAAAAACTGCACATGGCTGCCTCAGTGTCATTCTTTAAATCACCACTGGACGGCATCACAGAAGAAGATTTAGTAATGTGTAAACTGTAGACTATTACTGTATGTTGCTCACATGTGCATGTGTTGCTCAGGCGCTGTATCTCATAGCAACCAATGGCACGCCCGAGCTGCAGAATCCTGAGAAGCTGTCGACGATATTCAGAGACTTTCTGAACCGATGTCTGGAGATGGACGTGGAGAAGAGAGGGTCGGCTAAAGAGCTACTGCAGGTACAGCAGCTGTGTGTGTGTGTGTGTGTGTGTGTGTGTGTTCGTGTGTTCAAGCTATAAAAATAAAAATTCCCCAAAAATAATACACACAGTATTTATGTACTGTCCAAAAACCACCTGACGGCAGTTGGAAACGGCAGTTGACAAAACAATATCAGCTCCACTTGACCTCTAGCTAATGTTTTGTCAAGAAAAATTATATTGATACAGCTCCATAAGTTTGATTTTCTCTCATATAACACCTTCCACATTGTGTTTTTTTAAGTAACACTGTGCACATACAGTAGATCTTTGTTTGTTTCAACATTTAACTGTGATTTCACACAGGGGCCAAGATTTTCATAAGTAAGAGAGCAATACTGTGACATTAAAATGCTCCAATGCAAGTAAAAGTCCTGCTTTGCAAATGTCACTTTAATAAAAGTCCCTAAGTTTCAACAGTAAAAGTAATTGTAACGCTGTAATCCTTTTAGTTATATTAGATTATTGCATTGTTATTACTATTTAACTTACTGTGAATAGTCTGATATATAAAAATAGATCATATTTTATAAGATCATCATACATTTTTATGTCAAATAGAGATGCACCAATTCATCAACTGTTGATTGGAATCTGACAATTTTCAGTTTGATCAGCCATGACTGGTGACTGGCCAGTCACTCTTAGATATAGCTAATCCTGGGCCAATCAAGTTTACATTCATGCGCAGCAACTCATTCTCAAAAGTTGCAATTAATTCCGATGCACGCTGCACATGCTTTGAAAGCTACTATGTTAAGCTAACGAGCAGACTGGGTCGTACCATCTCAAATCTGTGTAAATCATGAAGTTGATAAGTAGCTCAAAAATGTAGCATAGCAAAACTAATGCAAAGAGTATAGCGTTCTAACATAGCATGCTGTTTAGTCTAGTAAGCTGTCTTACCAAGTGGGGTCCATTCGATAGATTTGGTAGTTTATACCATGGTAACAAAACATTTTAACACCAGTGATCGAAAGGAAAATAAAATAGTTTATTAATAGTTGAGCTGAAAGAGAGCTGTCAATTTAGTGTGATCTGATCACGCCCCCACAATCCTGAGAAATGGTTTGAGCAGCCAAATGGGACATTTTTGAACCAGGTTTTCTAATAGATATGAAGATTTTTTTCAGTTATCTTTGATAACATATATGCATTTTACTATTTCAGGGTATGGTTCCATTAAATTTGTGTATGCTGGAAATTGTAGTTCTTAGAAAGAAAGAAAATATGAAATCAGCCAAAATTGGAATCGGCAGGTCAGACTTCGCCAAGGAAATTGTAATTGGTGCATCTCTAGCATGAATCTTAGTATGTAAAGTAACTTGTAACTATAGCTGTTAAGACATTTAATTGAAGTAAGAAGTACATAATTCAAATTGAAAATACTAGAGTGAAATACATTTACCTTAAATTTGTACTACTACTTGAGTAGATGTACTTAGTTGCATTTCACCACTGGACACCAACAATCAGCACTCAGTCTGTCTCATTACTTTCAGTCTGTGTCTTTAGAGTTGGTTTCAGAAATAAAAATTGAATCCAGCCTCAGTGTTATTTCAAAGGTTCAGCTGTACAGACAGACAGATGGACAGACAGCTGTGTAGGTGGAGGTGTAACTGAGCAGCCAAGTGAGTTGTGTAACTGTCCAATGACTCAGAGCTGAGAGGTGAAACTGGGACTTTATCCTGTTTCAGAAGAAGGTCTGCTAAAGAAGTAATTTAATTTAATGGCTCCTTTGTATGAGTGCGTATACTTGTTCTCTGAAGTAATAGTTTAAAGGTTGATTCAATTGAGTCTCTGTGTGTGTGTGTGTGTGTGTGTGTGTGTGTGTGTGAGTGTGAGTGTGAGAAAGGGCATTGAATAAGAGGTTACGTAGGACTGCTTTTTATTGAGGCCTCTGTGGTATTTCAGTTAAATCACAGCATTTCCACTGTGGTTGCATTAGAAGGGAGACCCACTGCTTTAAACCAAGCAGTTCTAATTTCTCTACCTTGAGTTTCTGAGATCCACCTTGTGATGAAATGCAGAGGTAGAGGGGGAGAGAGGTGAAACAGTGTGAAGCAGTTAAAGACAAGAACAAAGTAATGAAACACTGAGACAGCAGGTGTTAGTGAGGAACAGTCCCAGGACTGACAAATTGGTTCTCAATTTGTTGAGTAGAACAGTTTCAGATTCAAAGATGATGTTAGCCTGAGTGTCAGACTGAAGCTCCCAGAACCTTCAGTCTGACATCGCCTCCATTGAAGGCGATTTACAAGGGGGAGGGAATTTGATTTTTCCCTAACCAATCAGTAGAGATCAACGACTCACCCAGAATCTGACGTCATTAGTATCCATGCCTCGGGGGTGCCGAAAACAAGCGAGCATTGCCCGTTTAAAATGTCTCCGTCGTCGTGCACGCCCAGCTGCATCGCCGTTAAATCCAGTTAAGCAGCTTCCTTAATTTGGTCCTCCATTAACGCGAGTAGTGGCGAAATACCTCGATAGCATCGTTAATGTGGTCTGTAGGATCTGTAGCGGTCGCCATTGTTGCTATCCTCACCAGTTACCCACCGGCGTACAGCTTGACACCAGCGTGGCGCTGATTGGCTAATCGCTAGACCCCCAGCGTTCATTGGTCCGTCCATCGTTTGGACGAGATAAATCGCAAATTCATTGCAGTATGCCAGACCAGTAATGCAAGCCTACTCAGTTGAGTGGGCGGGGTCTATGGTCTGGAACCAGGCTAAGATGACGTCAAAAATAAGGTGTGCTTTGCTTTAGATGCGGCTACACATGATTGTAAGTTACACATGAAACATCACAAAAAACCATATGATTTATTAATGCAGTCCAAGTAACGTCACCTGAATATCTACCACAAGCCAACATAAACACAGTATAACATCAAACCTGATGAGTTCTCATATCATAATTCTAGGCTGACCAAACGTCCTCTTTTGCCCGGACATGTCCACTTTTCACGTCCTGTCCGGGGCGTCCGGGGGGTTTTTATAAACTGATGATAATGTCCGGTTTTCCGTGTGTTTGTGTATGTGTGTTAGAGTGCGGCATGGGCCGCATATTTCTGTCCGAACCCGAACCGAGCCCGACATTATTGAATGACCAAAGCACTGAGTTTGTGTCACACAGTGGTTACAGGCTATTTAACAGGCCGGGCGTGCACCGTGGGTGCTCAGCTGCGGAGAGGGAGACCTCCATGTTTGAGACGGGAGCGGGCGGCGGGAGGTCCGAGGCTTCCAGCGAGAGGAGAGGGAGAAATAAAACAAAATAAGATAAAATAGAAAAACCTGTCTCCCTCTTTTATTTTATTTTCAGCGTTTAATCAAGGCGGAGGCGGGCACCGGGAGGTCCGAGACTTCCAGAGAGGGGAGAGGTAGAAACAAACAGCCGTTTGTCTGTGTGTGTTATGTTCAGGTGTTGTCACGTAAATAACAGTGCCCAAGCAATAAACAGGACAGACAATAGCATTTTATTTATTTTTACACTATATTTTCACTGAAAGCTGACCAAATCCAACCCGAGCCCGAATACAATTTATACATTTTTTACCAAACCCAGCCGACCCGCTGGGACCCATCGAGCTCGAATCGCCACACTCTAGTGTGTGTATGTGTCCCCTATCTATAGGGGCCTATCTGAATTTCTGTCTTTGAGAGATATTATTTTGTAATATAACTGAATTTTCTATCCATACATATAAATTTTAAATATATTAAAATGATAAGGCATCTTTGAGTAAACTGCGAGTATCATTTAAGTAGGCTATATGGTCACCCTACTTAATATTGAAGTTGGCCACCGTGTTTCAGCAGCAATGCCCGTATTCAACAGTGGAAACCAGAGGGTATTTCCACGTTTGAACATAACTAGTCAGCTGTCTGTCAGCAAAGCCAACAGAAAATAAAATAAAAGACAAGAAATTTACATCACAAAACATTTAAATTTCACCACCTCTAAATGGATAGCGCTCTGACATGCAGTGCTAAAGCTCTTGAGACCAAAAGAAAAGGCCTCTTTTATTTTATCTAATTTTGCCTTTTTTTTTTCCTCAAAAATCAACTGATTATTTACCCCTTAACTGGTGTCAGGGCATTGAAAGCAAAATTAACCAAAACTGACATGAACCTTGAAACTTTAATTTTCAAAGAATTTTAGATTTACTGTGTCTTTCAAGTTCTTTGTTTTTAACTCAGGTGTTGTCTCTTGTGAGGTAGTTGCAGTTTTGTTTGTATGGGATTTTCAAGTCAAAGAAGGAAATTATCAATTGTGATGAAGTATGGTGTGATTATTTTAAACCATTTCTCAATTCTTAATTTTGACTCTTAGGCCGCTGTAACGTGACAATTCCCACGTGTGAGATTAACAGTCTTCCTCTTCATTTACAAAACAATTACTGTATAGTAATATATACAGTAACAGTTATATATATGTAGATTTCGGCCCTATCACCCAACCCCAGATGACACTATTTCTAAAATCAGCCTGGTCCATGTCTTCTGTTTTTGTACAGTGAACTGAAATCTTTTTTCACTTTTCTCCACCTCAATCTTTCCCCCTCCCCTTTTGTTCCTCTCCAACTCTTCCCTCTCTCCTCCTCCCCTTTTCTACCCTTCCTCCTTCCTGTTCCCATCCCCTCTTCCCCTTCTCTCCTCTCCTCTCTCAGCATCAGTTTCTGAAGATGGCGAAGCCTCTCTCCAGTCTGACTCCTCTCATTGTGGCTGCTAAGGAGGCTGCCAAGAACAACCGCTAGCAAGCCTTGCACTCATTATTCTCTCTCTCTCTTTGTCTACCATCCCTCCTTCCTTTCTCTTCTCCTTTTTTCACTGACTGCACCAAGCTTGACCCCCCCTTACAGGGAGAAATAAGGATAGTTTCTTCCTGTAACTTTTTGTTCGACACTCCACTGGACTCGGACAGGAAGATGGGGTGGTGGGGGGGTGCAAAATGAATGACATCATCAGTGACCAAATGATGTCATCGTTCACATCACAGCCCCCTCAGCCGGTACGAACAACACAATATAGGAGAGAGAGTGTTTCAACAGAGTTTTTTTTTTCTTTCTTTCTTTCTTTCTTTTTTTTTAAATCAATGTTTGTTTGTTTTTCTTACTTTGCCTGTAAAAGCCGCGGACCACAACAGCCAACCAGCAACCTCTGCTGTAGACTGTGTGTGTGTGTGTGTGTGTGTGTGTGCGTGGGTCTGTGTGTCTGTGTGTACGTTTGTGTCTTTACCAAGGTCCGTGCTTCCTGTTTTTCGTCTTTGGCTTTCAGTCTGACTTATTTCATCATCTTCTTTTAAAAAGTGCATTTGTTGATTTTCATTTTAACACTTTTTTAAATCAACAATTCAGTGTGTGTGTTTGAGTGTGTCTATTTTTGGTCATTAAGTTGATTGTAACATTACCTTCTGTAGTTTTTGACATGGAGGAGATCAGGTTTGGTACTTTGTCGTGTCTGCAGTGAGTTAGAGAATATTAATGTTAATTAAAATAAATGAAAGACTGGCAGGCCCAGAACCATCGATGGACAGAGTTTGGACAGTTTGGAGGTTTCCCCTTCCCAAACAGCCATTTTGGCTCAGTGATGTCTTTCCAGGAACTTTTCTTTTTTGCTCTTTGTACTTGTAGGTTTTAGGTTTTTAAAATAATTCACAGTTAGTGATATTAGATCAGTATTTCCCCACATATGGGCTCAAAATCTGACTCAGGTTGCAGCAGAGGTTGTGTTAGACTTTCTTATTGTTCGTCATTTTGACAGACAGGTTCGTAAAAATTACATCATAATCTGAGATATTACCTTCAATTTAGATTTTAGCTGCCGCTGGCTGATGAATTTTATCAGTAATACCAGCTTGTCCTTTATCCTTCACCGCATCAATCCCTCTTTTTTGTATTTGTTGAGCTCAAGAGCTTCAGCAACATCAGTAAGTAACAGTGAATGTTCGACACTTCAGCTGTGGAGATGTTGCTGAACATGACTTCTCTAATTTTTCACTGTTTAAAATGGGTAAAATCTTTTTACATTGTAGAGCTGCGTGCAGCATATTGATTTACTTGGCTCTGTTTATCATGAGACTGCTGTGTGTGAGTGTGAGCACCACACCAGGGACAGATGGTGACATTGCTAACTTTTAGCAACACACAGCTAACGCTACCTAACAGTTATTAACGGACTCAGTGACAGAGTTGAGCCTGTGTGGTGTTGGTGTAAGTTTGCTGGAACCATCAACAGCTCAGTGTTGATTGTTTGTCAATGCCATTGCAGTTACCCGGCTTTTTAAAGAAACTAAGAACACTCAGGTGTCATTACATTTTGCAGTGGTATGTAGAAATATAGCTCACCAATGTAATGGCTAAAGCAATGAGGTAACGGAGGTAACCTCTTTTACTAAAGCCAGCTAGACAACAAATATACTGGCAGCTTTTATAATTTTGTGTGTTTTCAGCACAAATTGATAGTATTCCATTATTGTAGCATTGCACTCCTATTACATGTACTGACTCATGACAGACAGAAGATCAAAATAATTGAATCTTATTTCAGCGTTCTGAGTTGAATGTCTTGTCAGAGCTTTTTGTGTTATGCTCCACTTTCTGTCTATCATATAACAACAACAAAAAGAATTTAAGTCTTCCCCAGGAAAATAGAAACTTAATTGTCACATCCTTGTTTTGAAATTACTGATGTAGACACCAGTGAATGAGCTTTGACAACACTCAAATTTCATTTTAAACCCAATAAGGTGTTAAAAAGCCTCAAAAATTGTATTTAAAGAGAAGTATCTCAAATATTGTACTTACACAAATCCAAAATCGGGTCAGCACAGCCCTTCTAAAAAAATACAACCAAAGGGGAGAAAAAAGCAGTTATGAACTGTGTTTACCCATGATCCATTCTGTCAAACTCACTCCATCTGCGGCTTTGGGACTTCACTGTCTACAGACTCAACACTAAGACTGTGAGGAAGAGAATGTGCATGTCAGCAACCTTTTTTTATACGGTACGTTCAAGATAGAGAAGAAAAATAATAAGTAAGTTGTGTCTATGCTGGAACGTAAAGTGATGGTACATGAAGGATGCTTGTGTATGATAGGAAAAATCATATCTTAAAGGAATACTTCACCCCCCAAATGATCATGTGTACGTCGGTCACTCACTTTGAATTTGTGAAGAAAACTGTTTTTCTTGCATGTCTCCATGGTGAACAAAGAATCCAAAAATGGGGAAAAAAATAAATAGATGTTTTGATAAGGTTCTGCCATTGTTAAATACAGACTCCCTGAATTGATTTATCCATTTTTGAAATGAGGCATGCCAGGAAAACAATGTTTCCTTCACAAATTTAATAGGTGAGTTACTGATTTACAAATGATCATTTCGGGGGTAAAGTCCTTTAATCCTATTTTCAGAAGAATGAGACAAATAAATGCTACAATGGTACAGTGTTGTTGTTCTTTTCAGCCTGATGGATTGTTGGATCCCCAGGAACCCTCTGAACATAAGGTGTATATTTTCTGTGCAAAAAAAGAGAAAAAAAAACTGCATTGACAAAAAAAAAAAGACAACAACAATCTGTTTCATCTTTTGTTTACAGACTATTTTTTATAATCTATCAATGTCAGAAAATTCCTTTTTGTTATGGATAGCAAGATTTGAGTATTTGTTTTGGATTTTTTTTTTCTGCTGAATTAAAGGAACATAGTTTTTCTTGCCAGCAAAAAATGTCATAGGTTCAAATCCTGCAGTAGCCAAAGTTTCCATCAATAGCCACGGTCATTCGCTCTGCATTTGAGCATCAGATATAAAATCCTATGTGAATAAAACACTTCCAAAACATCTATTCAAAACTATCACTTTGATTTCTGCTGTTAGTTGTTTTTATAGTTTTGTTTTTATGTAGTGTTCATGTACCTCTGGCCTTAAACTGTTTCAAAGGTGCAAGACTACTTTAGAATAGCAACATTGGCAACATTTTTAGGCAACAGTGAATGTTGGTGCTGCAACTAACAATAATTTCAATTATCGATTAATCTGATGATTGCATTCTCTGTGAGTGAAAAAATGTTCACAATTTCCCAGAGCCCACAGTAAGATATTCAGATGTCCTGTTTTATTCAACCAAAACCACAAAGTTTATAATGATGGAAAATAATTAAAACAGAATGATTGGCGTTTTTGCTTAAAAAAAGTACATTTTAATTCAATTCTCCAAAATATTTGTGAATCAACCAATCGTTGCAGCACTACATGTTTTGAACTCTACAAAGACCAGTGTGAATGATCAGTGGTAAAGTATCTTTGAGCATGGCAGTGAAACACACAGCTGATTAGACTGGCTGCAGTGTGGAGGATGAACGCAGCTGTAAAATTCATTTATGTGTATAAACTGCCTGAAACTGTTGCCACTGTGTGTCTGTGTGTCCTGGTCTGAACCCCTGGCATAGAGCTGGACTTTCTCTGAGATCTCTCTAAACTCTGTATGTGATTTAAAGTTTTGCTGTTATTAAGCAGTCATCAAAAGACAATGTGACAGAGCATTCTCAGATGCTTGTTAATGAAAAAAAAAACACAGGAATGCATTTTAAAATTGTCCTTCAAAGTCTTGGTGAAATGTTATTTTTACCTTTTTAATGGTGTATTGATGGGCTCATATTAATCCGACAAAGAAAACGTCTAACTACCAAGATGTGTGCTGATGTGATGGATTGGACCAAACTGTAATCATGATTTATTACTTTGTGCCAGATGAGCTTCACAATGTTATTTTTTGCATTAAATTGTCGGTTAAATAAGGAACCACTTATGCTACATTCACATGGAATCAGGCAGACGGCAGACAGACAACAGGTTCTGGATGGCATGGGAAAAACAAACATACAGTCTGATGGAATAGCAGGATGGAAAAACAAAATATGCATGACAGTATGTGGTGGTAATGATGCCGTATTGTTGACAAAGAATAAAATAAAATCTATTAAATGAAATTATTTGGTGTTTATTAATTTATGTAACTTATCGAGTAACATCCAGTAAGTCATCAGATCACCTGTGTTTCACCTTGTGTGAGGGAGCTATGTCACATCCAGTTGTAAATTCAGCAGAAAGTAAAAATATTTTAACTTTTAGGGGCAGTGCCGTCTACCATTACTGTTGCCGATATTGTCTGCCAGCCTCACCTAATTTAACCGTCCTGCTCTCGTTCACTAAAACAATATCCGTTTTGCCGTCTATAGTCTCCCTGATTCCATGTGAACGCAGCATCAGTAGTTTCTTAACTAAACTTTTAGCAACTGTTATAGAACAATCAAGTAACCAGCCCGCTCTCACCGAGAAATTACCACATAGGTTCACCGAGAAATTACCACATAGGTTGACTATGCAAGCATCTTATTACAACCTGCACTTGGGTTTATTTTAAGGCAGCGCCCTCTAGCAACCATATTAATTATAACAGGAGCAGAGGAGGAAGTTACGTGATGTGGCATAAGAGGTGACAGTGTCCCCATAATGTTGCACGAATATCAAATAAGCCCCTGTAGGTTGAGTGGGAGGGGTGGTGGGTGGGTCAAACAAGCACAGGACTTTCACCTAGGAGCGTGGTGTTTGCGCCCCCAAAGTCAACATTAACTTCTTTTAATAACAACCTAGCCCAGTATGCTAGAGCATACTGGGCTAGGTTGTTATAGATGTATGGGACATCTTGAATGTGACATATGTCACATGTGGTTAATGCGTTATGTTGGAGGAAAAAAAGTACTTATTTAATGCCAAACCATGTTTTTTTCCCTAAACCTAACCACATAGTTTTGTTGCCTCAACCTAACCAAGTAGTTTCAGTGTGGAACTGCAACCATTTTATGACGTTTAGGTTGTGTTAAAAGAAATTGACCTATTCTGTTGTGTAGGTATAAGAGTGTTTCATATAACACAAGATAGATTCATTTCATTAACAATTGTAGAAAACAAGATACATTTCTTTAGTGTATAAATCTAGTATTTTTTTCTTCTTACCAGTTTACAGTGTCCCCTCTGTTGGCAAGTGAAATACCCGAGGATTTCAAGTCTAGAGGACGATCCATGATTAGCATTCACATAATGACGAGCCATAACAAGATTCTTACTGCTGATAGCAGTCTGGTGTTCAGCAGTCGTTGGTTTTAGAGGTCGTTTAGATTGGCCGACATACACCAGACAGCAGGGACAATTCAGATAATAGATAATGTGAATATAAGGCAGGATTTTGAATTTCATCTGCATGTCTGGGAGAAGATTCTCCTCTGATTCAAGTCTCCTTAGTCTTTAGCTGCAAAATGTCACTAAAATAGACAAACAAGGAGGTTGCTTTTATGTCAGAGGGGAGGGGGGCTTTTGCATGTCTGTGTCATCTATCTCCCGATCCGTCCATGATCATCCTATGTCACCTTTTTTTTAATTTGCCAAGAGAAACTACTGTTCCCACAATAAAATTACATCAAAGAGCATCACATACAGCCTCTTTAGAAAACTATTTCTGCTGACTTAATGATGAGTTACAAATACTGCTGGACCTTTAAACAAGTTGAATACAATTAATTAAAATCTAATCATCTTACTATATGATGAAACCATCAACAAGCAGGACACAAGGGGGGCTTCAAACTTGGTACAGTTCAAGTTCTAAAAGGGGGACTTGGTTCAGTCCAGTTCTCTCCCCAATGTATCAGAGCCATAATTTATCTGTTTATAAGTCATTTTGATGAATTGAAACAACTCTGAAAACTGAAAAAAAGAATAAATAAAAATGTCCAAAAACTGAAAATCTGGTCTGCTTTTTTTTTTTTTTTTTTTTTTCATCTAAAAAGAGTATAAGTAGAGGACTTGGATTTTTTCAGCTGGACACAAACATGACTTCACATGAATGATGATGTCTCTATGTCTTTAACGGTTGAATGTGTGATTGAGCCTCTGTGTGCTAACAGGATCAGCATAACAATGGAAAAGGTGAACAGTTGTAGTTAATGTGTACAATATCAGTCACCAGAAAATGTTTTGGCATTGTATGTTTCCGCAAACCATGGATATGTTACATTTGTATGTTTCATACCAGCATTTTAAGTGTGGCGTAGTTCACATTACATAGCCTATATATGAGCTGACTGTCATCAGGAGGAGGAGAGGACAGTGGATGGTGTGACATCTAGGCAAGACTGCTTTCAAACGAGAGACAGACATAAACTACAGCAGTTGTTTTATGAATAGAGCATGAACAGAGCGTGTTCAGCTGTTTGTGGTAACCAGACTAGGTATTTTAAGCCAAAACACAATGTTTTCCTAGCCCAAACTATGTACTTTTTGTGTTTAAACCTAACCACACATTAACCACAGCTTTGTCAAAGCATAAAACTGCAAATTGAAACATAAAGTTTAAATATATCCGCAATATAAAAGTACAAATGTTACATATCTGTGGTTTGCAGAAATGAGCAATGCCAACATTAATTCTTGCGACTGGGTTCAGAAAATATATATTTTATAAACTGATGGGTTGTACATTTTTGTGCGGGAAAGAAAATATTGACATGGTGATGTACAAAACTTCACATTACGAAATATAAAGAAAATGTGCAATGTACAGAGATAAAAAACCAAAAGGCAGCATGTTAATCACTAGGCAATATGAGGGGAGATGCCACCCTCCTTGTTAGCAAAAATGCATGCCCCCTGTTAACCTAGTTAACAGAAGTATCAGACAGATTTGTAATTTGAGTTGTCTATAATATTTTCTAATCTATATAGCTAGGGGGTAGGAGGCCAGTAGAGTGTGTTAATAGGTAACAAATTACCCACTGGCATTAGTGTAACATATAGAGACAGATGTGGAATCTTAAGATCAATTAGCCGACATAAAAATACACTCCATTTGGATTGACAAGACAAGAAAGGATCCTCTTGCAGGTGGCCAGCTGTGGGAGGTTTTTAGTTTCAATGTTCTCACAAATAGCAGTCCAGTCTTTCCTAAACAAAGCTATGATTTGCTAAAAATCAAAATGTTAGTGGAACTGATCTTAAACATACAATATGTAATTTTATGCTGTGAGGGGTCTCTCAATGGAAACAACAGAAGACGAAGCAATGCCATCATTGCAGTCAGTTTCTCACGATTAGGATTCTGTCATTGTTCATTGTCTAGGAGGTTTTTACTGGCAAAACAGAAGGACTAAGTGATTTAAAATACTGAAAATACTGAATCAAGCAGTTTTGTGTTAAAAATCTGTGTTTCTGCTACATTGCCGCTAATGTTTCCTCAGCTTGTTTCCTTGATAACTTCAGATTCAGACCTCTGATGACTAAAATCCTTCATCTTGTTAAAGAATATGGTTGAAAACATCCAAGCTCTAAACAGAATATCATAAAAATGTGGCATAAACTGGATAAACAGTCCATTTATGACAGCTTCTGGCAGACAACCACAACCCTGACATGAGCGCAAAGGGGCTATGACGCCACTGATGGGTGACTGTGACCGAATGGCACGGACAGTGTCCTTGATTAAAATTTTAGATTTCTTCATTTGAAATATTTGGGATAATGTATGTACACAGCACAACAAAATATATTTCACTGGTCTGATTGTTTTTAGACATTTTAACATCCTTAACTCTGAATCAGCTTTACTGCTGCATTTTGCATCATTTAAAATAGTAACTCAATTAAGCAAAACTTGATTCATCTTGATTCTGAAGACCAATGTGTTGTCTTAGGCATCATAAGCTGCAGATAAGACGGAGCAGTAACCGCTTTAAATGCTGAGATACTTGTGCATTTGTACACACACATCTAGAGATCAGAGCGTTGTTGTCCAAGTGGACTGTTAAATAATAACACTGCTCATTTATAACGTGATTTTAATACTCATGAAGCCTTTCTGTAAATCACTTATGTAAACTGCTGTCCTTTGCCTGAGTCTGGGGCAGAAATGAGCTTAAATTTCTCTGGCTGTGATGGCCGCTCATGGCCTCACTCCCTCCATCTGTCCGTCTGACCATGAAATTAGATCCCACCTACTTCTTCTTTGTTTCTCCTTGTAATTAAAAGTGCTGATTACTGATTGCCTGCTTTTTAAGCTCCTCTTTGATGTGCAGGCTAATTAGTTCGGTGGTGGAAGTGAGGCTGTACTGCAGTGTGTGAATCAGTATTAAGGCCCTCCAGTGGATTCAGTCCTCAGAGTTTTTGCTTGTCCTCTTTCCTTGTGTCTGCATCCCTTTCCCCTTTTCATCCTCTGGCGTCTTTTATCTTCAGATCCCTTCATCTCAACTCCATCCCTTCATTCCTTCAGCCTCATGCTTGCAGGTATATTAGGTGACATTATAATGATAAATGTCAAATTCATAGTTTAATTCAAACTATGTCCAGCAATCATGCACACCCCAACCTCACCCATTCTCTCTGCCCTCCACCACCTTATGTCTGAAAATGTTCCTCTCTTAGGACTCTTAACATTGGCAAATGTCTATTATAACAGAAAGTAGCATGAAATATCTCTAACTCTCGTTCTGAAGCAAGAGATAAGCTCTAGTTAATTTGATATTTCAAAAAAATAAATATTTGAAATGAATGCTCTCACAATTAATTTGTCTGTCTATCTATCTATCTATCTATCTATAGATAACTGTCATGTCAGGCTACCATCTTTGTTTTGATCAGGAAATACAGCTCAGTCTCCATGGCAACCATGTCTCCTGTTACCAAGGAGACTGAGCTTGTGTTAATCAGCTCTATTTGTCCTGCAGCAACAGAAACAGTGACGCAGGAGTTCTGCTTTTTTTTCATTGTAGAAACACTCTCTTTCTTTCTCTCTGATTCTCTGCATTCATGTCTGCTTTCTTCATCTATTCTGTCTTCAGTCTTTTACATTGTGCATTAAATATTTTGTCTCTCTCACGTGTATAGCAGTAGCATCTTCTTCTGCCGGTGCAGTGTGGAGAGTAACGAGGCTGGTTTCTGC